AAGGCAGGCGGATAGCTTGAGGTCAGGAGTTCGAAACCGGCCTGAGCAAGAGCAAGACCCCCCGTCTCTACTAAAAATAGAAAGAAATTAGTTGGCCAATTAATATATATAGAAAAAATTAGCCGGGCATGGTGGCGCATGCCTGTAGTCCCAACTACTCGGGAGGCTGAGGCAGTAGGATCACTTGAGCCCAGGAGTTTGAGGTTGCTGTGAGCTAGGCTGACGCCACGGCACTCACCACTCACTCTATCTAGCCTGGGCAACAAAGCGAGACTCTGTCTCAAAAAATAAAAAAAAAAAGAAAACTAATTTCTAGACTCAGCTGTTACTATTTGTTCAGTTTCATACAAGTAAATTTTCCCTCATTTGTAAAACTATAAAATAGAGATACTATCTGTTCCATCTACCTTCCAGTGTCAACATGGAGTATCAAATGAGATTGTTAATTGTTATAGTATTTTCTAACATTACCAATGCAAAGCATATTTCACTTTAAAATTCAAAATGTAAAGACACAGTGTATAACCATAAGGCCATATTGTACAACTACCTGTTCAATGTCAAAGATTCAAACATTACTGAATTATATAAAAAACTATGAAAAGACCAACTATCTATCCTCTAATGATCCCTACTGAATAATTCCCTCAAAATGTTAAAAGTAACCTTTGTTTGAAAATTAGGAGATCAAAATACATTTCCAAATTTTTCCAAAGATACAGCTAAGTAACAAACAAGAACAAAAACTTCACCAGGTGGCTATAAACCTTAGAAAAAATGGTTAGGAATCCACTTTTACATTCACAGAAGTTCAAACGCTACAACAAAAGCTATGCAAATCACTGAAAGTCCCACAAATGCAGTAATCAATAAGGAATATTTAATTACTCAACTGAGCCGAACCATCTTCCCCCCAAAAGACATTTTAACAAGTATTCCATATATATCTTATAATTAAGTTTCTTATACTAAGAGGGATGATGAAAAAAGGGGGCAACTGGGAAAAAGCTGAAATTTTGTGGAGCACCTTTATAGAAACCCTGTATTCTATAAAAACCCTTCATTTCTAAGCTCATTTGTATGATCATTCTTAAATTTAAAATAACCTGGTAAATTATTTAGAACTAGCTCTTAAAAACAGTATTAACTACAGAACCCTCTCAAGGTTTCCTTGTCTTTTTTTTTTTTTTTAACTGACAAGGGTCATGCGCTTGTCCACCCAGGCTGGAGTGATGTGATCACAACTCACTGCAACCTTGAACTTCTGAGCTCAAGCAATCCTCCTGCCTCAGCCTCCTTGAGTAGCGTGACTACAGGCCCAAGCCACCACATCCAGCTAATTTTTATTTTTTAATTTTTTTTTTTTTTTTTTTGGTAAAGAAGGGGGTGATCACTATGTTGCACAGGACCGTCTCAAACTCCTGGCTTCAGGCAACCCTCCACCTCGGCCTCCCAAAGTGCCCGGATTATAGGCCTGAGCCACAGTGCCTGGCCTGTGCCTTTTAAGATTCCATAAAAGTACAAATTCAACTTGTACTGTATGTTTGTACTTTTGAGGTTTGCGTTGACAACAGCTGCATCTTTAAAAACATGTCTAAGTTATAAAAAACAAATCTAATGATTATATCTTAAGACTTTTGCTTTTGGTTTTTAAACAAAAGATTATACATTTAGGGTATGTAAAAATAACTTATTTCACCAAAAACCTTTTAAGTTATACCCACACAAAACCTCCCCTTAATTTAGAATAGACAATCAATATTCCCTTTAATAAATCCTAAAGGATAAAATCTGTGTCTTTAAACTGTAAATGCTATGCTTCAGTAAGTCTTATTTTAACTAACATGATTTTTAGGAGTGAAAAAGAATCTCAATTTCTTTCTATTTTTTTTTTTTTGAGACAGGGTCTCACTTTGTTGCCCAGGCTAGAGTGAGTGCCATGGCGTCAGCCTAGCTCACAGCAACCTCAAACTCCTGGGCTCAGGCAATCCTCCTGCCTCAGCCTCCTGAGTAGCTGGGACTACAGCCATGTGCCACCATGCCCGGCTAATTATATATATATATTAGTTAGCCAATTAATTTCTTTCTATTTATAGTAGAGACGGGGTCTCGCTCTTGCTCAGGCTGGTTTGCTCCTGACCTCAAGCAATCCGCCCACCTCAGCCTCCCAGAGTGCTGGGATTACAGGTGTGAACCACGGCCCTTACTTTTTTATAGTATATCTTAAAGTCCTTTTATAAATTACTTCTGAACTAGCAGTTTTCAGAGAAATCCAAGATGCCAACAAAGTAGTAATTACAGAAAAAATATGCTGGGGTAACAATAAGGCCTGACCCTAAGGAAAATAAAGACATTTTACAAGTTATACATCTGTTTAACTTCCTTTGTTAAGATGTAAGTCACAAATTACAACATATAGGCTCTCATTACTAATATGTCATTAGATTTCAAAAAATCCTAAAATGAAAAAAAAAAATGAAATTTGAAGCAAATAGTTCAAAGAATATAGTAACTAAGTTTACTTATACATGCTGAGTACAGATAATCCAACTCGTACTTGATTTTTGATAATGGATGGGTTTGAATTTAAATATGAATATTTATATATATTTGAATTCATATTTAAAGATAAAAACCTAAAGGAATTCATAATGCTTGTAATAAAAAAATCATACATATACATTTTTAAAAACTTAGTTTCAAATACATCATTAGCCAAAAAAAACCTGAAGAACACCTCAAGTCAAACTATGATAAATATCTCAGTATGAAATGAGGGAAGAATCACCATTTTACATTTTTAAAAGACTGAATTAACATCAAAGATGCACTTTGAACTCCAAAATGGAGATAGCATATTTTATGACCTTTTTATTCCTCCATAGTATGAAGGACTATGCAGCTAGGTAAATTAGAAATTGTACATACATGAATGGACTTATAGTATTAGTTAAAAGGCTCCAGAGGAAGACAGACAAGCAACTAGAAAGCAAATTAGAAAGTGGGGCCTAACTCAGCAAATGAATAGAACAAAAAAATAAGTAACAAGTTACTCACAAATAGAGCTGAAGAAGTATCAGTAAAGATACAAATAAAAAGGAAACTAAAAGCCAACAAGTACCTGGAGTTCATACAGGAAAGAAAACGAAAAACAAAGTGCAGAAAAAAGGCACAAAGGAAAAAGCAAGCAGCTAAAACATCACTAGCTCTCAAGAGTCAAAGCCTTTAAGAACACTTCAAGATCAGGATCGCATCTTAACTTGACTTCCAGGAGTATCATAATTCTTGGCACACAGTGTATGCCCCATGTTTGTTGAATGAATAAGCAACAGAATATTCTTGGGATTGTTTCACCTGTAAAAGAAATGATCAGGCATGGTTCACTGTAAATGGATGAAAGCATTTACAGAAGATTCCTTGAGTGCCTAAAATGACTGCTTTCTGGATTTGGGGATAAACTGGATCACAGTCACTGAGATAAGAACCTGAGAGCCTACCCATGGGGGAGATGAGGTGCCATATCTTATTTTGTCACAATCACCAAAACTTTCAAAATAAATAAACCGTAGTGTAGTATAGTACAATCAGTACCTGCTCTCCAAGAGCTATCATTTGAAGTGAAACCCACTATACAAGACTAGTTTATAAATAGTATCATCTCAGGCTGTATGTAACACTATGGAAAATTTATCCATGAAACCCAAAAACCTTAAGAGTTTAAATAATTTTGCAACCAAAGAACTTCTAACACTAATTATCAAACACATTTGCTCCTATTATGATGAAAAATGTGGTTTATCTGCGTAAGTAGCACAAAGCTACAGCTATATTCAACAGAGAACTATTTTCCTCCCATCTAATAACCATCCAAATTATTCAATCCCAATATAATCTTCTGACCTTTATTAATTTCCTCAACCCAGTAATTATGTAGAGGTCAATGTTTCTCAATATTCAATCCCATTGAGTAAAGCTGATTTCTATCCCAGGAGTCAAAAAATAAAAACAAGACAGATAAGAAGATGTAGGATATTTGTTAAAAGTAAGCAAAGTATTGAGGAGGTAGTTGCCAATGGGGGCAAAAATCTATAAGGTACTCTTGAGTTTCCTTGGAAGCTTACACTGAATATTGTGTATTTATCTCAAATGTTATCTACTTAAACAATATAAGCTCTTACAATAGGAAAAAATATAGATGTTTTAATTACCTCATTGAAATTGCTTTGTTCCTTAATGCATGCTTTAGTCAAGAAATCTGTTATTGTGCTAAACTTGGGGAAAATTAAGTCTATTGACAGTTACTGGGAGTTGGTTTTATTTACTTATTCTCACCCTCCTAGTACAGAAGCTTGAGGGCAAGGTAACGAGTGGAGGATGTCAGCACAGTGCAAAAAAAAACAAGGCTAACTTTTAAAAAGTTGAATATGGCAATGAACAAGGTATAGAAGTTACATTAGTAAGACTCAGGAAAATAGGAAAAATAAAATTTTAAATGTTTACAACAAAAACCAAAAATCAACTTTCTAAATCACAAATGGCTTTTTAAATTTGGGACCATCTTGAAAACTCTACTACTAAATTGAATTCATAATTTATCATTATAATTAGGAAACAGATTTGAACTCCTTAAAAAATAAATTAAAGCAGCAACAAAGATCTCAAAACAAACCAAATAAACCGAGAGCTTGACTTGAAAAGGTTAAAATTCCTTTCTTAGAAAAATGTCTTGCATTTCTCCCATCATTAATAAAGTATTTGGTAGACTGTATTCATAAATGTATTCCCTTAATATCAGACACTGAAGTCCACTTTTTTAATGTTCAAGTAAGCATCTTATTTTTTTTGGTAACTTGCTTATGAATCAAAAAATTGAGAGAAACAAAATACTTTGATGACATAACCACATAGTAACACTCTCAAGCTGGAAATATTACTGCCTATTGTTTAACATAGAGCTATTGTTAAATATAAATGAAATTTTCAACAAGAAAGCTACTTACCACCATCCCTCTCTCTAACTCTGTGAGTATGCACATTTTTGGCCTTACTGTGACCTGTGCTGTCACTGTATTTGTTTTCAGGACTATCAGATCTCCGCAACATTTTATTTGGTGGTGAAGGATCTGCTGCGTCTCGCATCTTTTCATGTCTGTGATCACCACTACTGGGGTGACTCTTCGATGAATACTTAAGTGCCTGTAAAACATCACCCCCCCAAAAAAAAGAGAAAAAGAATTAAAATTTTAAACTGAACTCCCTCAACTAATTCAAGCATAAATTTTGGTGTATTTACTTAAGTTTTATGAACTTATATTAATAAAATTTCCATTTTGAATTCTGCCCTGAAATTATTCAGACAAGACCTAACACTTAAGAGTTACCACACCTGTTGTTACAAACCTTAACATCAATTTTAAAAAAAGAAAAAAATCCACTCCATTTTCTTGTAAATACAAATCAAACCATAGTGGCATATTGATTCTGCATAAAATTTCTGGGAATATATGAAATCCTTTTTTGAAAGTTTAGTCAAGAGACAGCCATGGTGGCTCACGCATGTAACCTAGCATTCTTCGAGGCTAAAGCAGGCAGATCACTCAAGGTCAGGAGTTCAAGACCAGCCAGAGCAAGAGTGAGACCCTGTCTCTCCTAAAAACAGAAAGAAATTAGATGTACAACTAAAAATATACAGAAAAAATTAGCTGGGCATGGTGGTGCATGCATGGAGTCCCAGCTACTCGGGAGGCTGAGGCAGAAGGATTGCTTGAGCCCAGGAGTTTGAGGTTGCTATGAGCTAGGCTGACGCCACAGCAGTCTAGCCCAGGCAACAGAGACTGTCTCAAAAAAAGAAAAAAAGTTTAGTCAAGAGAGAAAACTAGATACTCAGTACTACTGTAATCAATTTCTGCTCTACAACTGAGATGTACAGGCACACGTCTAAATAAGCACATGTATGTTTCTACAAAGCTACCAAAAAAGACATCAGTTTCCCCAATTATCTGAGTCAAATAAAGCATTTCAGACCTAACTTAACAACTCTTGCAGGTGTAGGAAACAATTAAGCATAAAATTAAGCATAATGGAACACCCTCAAATTAACGGTTTAGTTTTATTCTAACACATATCTTAAGAAAATCATGATATACCAGTCTTTAACAATATATAATCATGTTTTGGGGGAGCAGATTCAATAGGGTTTAATCTTTGACATACCCAAATGCAGCAGATGATGTTTTACACATCAGGGGACCTAGAGTTTTCAACTCCAACTTTAAACAAAACTATTAGGTTAGAAACCTGATCTCTTATCCTTTAAGTGATGAAATGTAGAAAATATTTACTTCCATAGTCACGTGGTAAGTTACCAACCATTTATGAAATTTCCCTCCTGAAAACTGGGGCCATTTAATTTTGAAAAACTTTACATGCAACAACTGCTGTAACAAAAAGGAACCTGCCTACCGAGAACCACTGCATTAGAATGAATTACCCAAGTACCCAATGATCTCAATTCTTACAGAAACAAAAGCACCATCTTTTATTCATACGGCAATTATTTGCACCAAAAACAAAATAAGAAGGGATAGTTGTTACAACCCAGTTAAGAGCTGTAAATCACTCAGCTATTTCTCCCAGACGCTCCACCTAATTTTAATACCTTTACATTAACTTCCATTCCCAATACACTAAATAAACATGCCTCCGAAGTCACCTAACCACCTCATCCCGTCGATTCCTTCCCACTCAAATAATTGAGTTAGGTCTTCCCGGCTGCAAATGATTTTTTTTTTCTTTTTTAACTGAACTTCCTCCACTCAACTATCAAAATAAATCACTAAACCTTGACGGAGAGCGCTGACGGAACCAAACACAAAATTTTGAGGGGACCCGCGGTGCTAGTTTCGGATTTGTTGCACCGAAGGGCCTGCAGCGACTTGTGAAGCCTGCGCTCGAGTAGCAGTCCCTCCCTTCCCCCTCCGGCCCCTTCCAATCCCTCCACCCGGCTTCGGCTGGTACCTGGTAAGGCTGCGCGTCCCCCCTCCGGTCGTGACAGCTGAATGAGCGCGGAAGAGACACGCGACATGAGACACTGCGGGGGTGGGGGCTGAAAACCGGCCCCCTGCCGCCCCTCCCGCCGAGACCTCCCGAGCGTACCGGCGCCAGCCCGCAAGCCCGGCGCGCCCCCGAGCTCCCGGAGGGCGAGGGCCGGCGGCCCGCGGCGCGCCCGACCCCGCTCCGCCCGCTCGCACCCTCCCCGCGCCCGCTCGCGCGGCGGCCGCTCCGCCCTGGCCGCTCCGGATCGCGGCTAACAACAAAAATGGCGGCCCGGCCAGCTCCAGACACGGAGGCGCAGCCCCCCGCGCCGCCCCGCCCGCCCGAAACGAAAGACGATTTACCCATCACTGAGTCTCTGCTGTTTCCTCGCATACATTACCATCAATGCCCGGCCTGTGAGGGCGTCGGGAGCGGGAGGGCGGCCGCGAGAGGCGGGCGGGCGGCGCGCAGGCGGCGGCGGGCGGGCGGCAGCCCCGGCACCAGGGCCCGGCTCGCCCTCGGCGACTCTCCAGCACCTCCCGTTACTGGCGCCGGCGCTCCGGCCATCTCCCTCCGCCGACACCACGCTCACTCCCGCCGGCAGCGGCGCCAACTACACGCGGCAGCGCGAACGGGGGGAGGGGCAAGAAGACGCGTCCGGCTCAGCCCCGCGGCGAGCGACTGCTTCCTCCGCCTTCTCCTCCTCTCCTGCTCCGCGCGCTCCTCCCCGCCGCCGCGCCGCCGCCGCCTGCTGTCCTTCTCCGCCGCCTCTCCCGCCGCCACCGCCACGCCGCTGGTGCCGCCGCTGCGCTCCACCAACTACATCCGGGCAACTCGGACGCTGCCGCCTTCGGGAGGCCTCGGCAGTTTCCGCCGCGCCTCCTCTCCACCCTCGGCCTTCCTCCCCGCCCCGCGCGGCTCTAGATCGCCACCTTCGGTAAACCTCGGCTCGCTCCGGCCTTCCTCTTCCTCGGAGGCCTGGCTCGCCTCCTCGCGACCCGTCAGCCCTTCCGGTTGCCGCTGTTTTTCCTCTCGCGCAGGTCCTGCCACCGCCGTTCCAGTTTAGGGACGGTCCCGCTCGGGGCCTGCTCGCGGCGGTCCCACGGGTCCGGCCTGCGCGGGGAGGGAGCCGCCTTCGGGACTGGGGGAGGACGGTGGGGCGCGAGGGAAGCCATCGCGTGCTATTATACGTCTCATGCGCTGCGGCTTGGTTTTGTCTGCTGTCGTGCGCCCGGGCTGGGCGGCGTGTGTATGTGTCGCTGCGCTTTCCTTTGTGTGTTCTTTTTTCTGTCTTGTTTGTTTTCCTTCGTGTCTCTCGCTGTCTCTTCTGGGGTTTTCTTCTCTTGTCTGTCTGGAAAACCTCTTGTTCTGTGTTTGTCTTGGCGCTGTCTATTTCTGTGCTGTATGCTTGCTTCTGTTTGTTTTGTTCTCCTCTGCTGGCTTGTGTGTGTGTGTCCCCTGTCCCTTGCTGTCTCTTATTTGTCCTCTCGTGGTGTTGTCCTGTTGATTCCGGTCTTTTTTTCCTGTCCTTGTGGCTGCTCTCTTTTTTGTTGCTACCGGTCTCCTTCTGTATGTCGTGCATAGGGGCTCTGCTGCATTGCTTTCTTGTTGTGTCGTGTCTCTCTGTATTTGTATTGTGGTCTTTTCGGCGCTGCCCCAGACCGCGGACGCTGCGCGAGTGCGGGGCCCGGCCCGGCCCGCGCCGGTGCGACTCCGGGGTTGAGGGAGCGCCGCTCGGGCGGGGAACCGAGACTGCAGACCCAGGGGCTGGTTGCTTGGGGAAAGTGTTGAGCTGCCTCACCCATTTTTTTTTAACATTTTTCCATCCCCAGCGGTGCTCATCCCCGTCCTCTCCTTTCTTTATCTCCCATTTTTCTCCCTCTTCTAATTCTTTTTCCTCGCTGAAGTCCTTTGGCGAAAGAAAATTTCACTTGGAGGGCCTGAGTGTGAATAAAGGTCTGGGGTGTGCTGAATGAAACTGCCACTGATTGACTTTGTTTACTGCCAAAGACACGTTGGAGGGGAAACGTCAAAGATTCCAAACGTGCTTCCACTTGAGGGTGGTGGTATTCAAGTGATTTTTTTTCTTCCTGCTCTGAACTCTTTGTAAGGGAACATTAGTTTAATGAAAAGGATCGTATAATAGTAAACATACGACGTTTAAGGGTAAGATAAGAAATCAGAAGAAACAAGATCCCTTCAAAATACAGTCTCAAAAAATAACTGATCTATTTGCTATGCAGGAAGTTACAGGATTGCTAGGGTGATGAAGAGGTGAAATGATGGAGGAGAGGAGGCCTAAAACACAGCTGATGGGAAAAAAATAAAAATTATGTGGCCTTATTTGTCCCATCCACCTGCCAAATGTAAAGATTATTGCTGTTTGTGAAGACCAATAAAGTCTACCGAAGCTGTCAGTAACAAAAAAAATTGCCAGTGGCTGAAATGACCAAATTAAAAAAAAATCAGTATTAGATACAGTTTCTAACACTTGTAGCAAATATGTTGGAAGACTTCAGATGAGAAAAGTACAAAAAATAATATATAAATCTTAGAAGCTTTTTGTAAACTGGCAGCAAAGTTAACTAACTTGTTTAATAACTGGTTATCTACTGAAATTGATACATGCTATTTAGGAAACTGGGTTAAGCTATGGGAGAAACAGTTCCAGGCAATGTACAGTTTGATACTCATTGTTCAAGGATTCCATATTTCAAATTCACCTACTCACTAAAATTTATTTGTAGCCCGAAAATCAATGCACGGCACCATTCGTAGACAGCTTGCCTGACACACCCACATTTCCAGCTGAGGTTGAACAAGCTAGCCCTCCTTTATTTTACCTCTCATGCTGTTAATTTGCCTTTTCACAGTATATTGGTGCCATGTGGTTTCTTTCCGGTTTTGTACTCTTTGGTGATTTTGCTGTTGTAGATGCCCCTACGAGTATTGATGAAGTGCTGTCTAGTATTCCTAAGAAAAAGAAGGCTGTGATATTATGGAGAAAACACATGTGCTAGGTAAGTTTCATTCAAGCTTGTCATTAGTGCTTTTGGCCATTAACGACATAAGTTCCATGTATGTTAAGGTGTCTTTAAAGAGAAACACACATAAAACAAGGTTATGTAGTAATCATTTGACACAAACATGACCAGAAATTTGGAGGAACTTAGCTGTATATTTACTATGGGAGTAATTCAGTGTTCTCAGTGACTTTATTGAACATAACTACCACAAATAATAAGAAGCACCTGTGTTTACTAAAGGACACATCTAACTCTTATACTCATTTTTTAAAATTCATCTCATTGCCTAGCTTAAATAAATCCTTTGCAAATACCCTCATCTCTTTTTCCTCTTCAACTCCTTCAACGTGCCTGGGTAAATTGCTGTATACCTGCTACAGAGCATTTCAACTTGGCTGGAGAAAAAGTCATCCTAACTGGTAAGTGAGTTCCTTCTGTTCCTGGCCCCTCAAGCTGTATTTACCTAATCCATTTACCCTGACCTCTTAACCAGCTTTTTTATATCTTCTAAACACACCAATACCTCCTCACTTGTAGGTCATTATCTTGCTTCTTACCTCTCTAAGAAAATAGAAGAAACCACAAAACAGTAACAATTTCGCACCATTGCACCTACCTGCCTGTCTGCATGTGAGTACAGTGCAACATGCCAGTAACTATGGATAAACTGTCAAAGTTCCTAAGGCCAAAGTTGCTACTTTTGCACTGAGTTGCATTTTACTCTTCGAATTGTCTGCTTTCAGCGGGGCACCATGGCTCACGCCTGTAATCCTAGCAGTCTGGGAGACTGAGGTGGGCAGATCACTCAAGGTCAGGAGTTCGAAACCAGCCTGAGCAAGAGTGAGACCCCGTCTCTACTATAAATAGAAAGAAATTAATTGGCCAACTAATATATATATAGAAAAAATTAGCCGGGCATGATGGTGCATGCCTGTAGTCCCAGCTACTCGGGAGGCTGAGGCAGGAGGATTGCTTGAGCCCAGGAGTTTGAGGTTGCTGTGAGCTAGGCTGATGCCACGGCACTCTAGCCTGGACAACAAAGTGAGACTCTTGTATCAAAAAAAAAAAAAAAGAATTGTCTGCTTTCCTCATGAATTTTTCCCTCTAACTGGATCACTTCCATCAACTTATAAACATGCTATACTAAGTACCATCTTAGAAAAGAAAAAACTCTTTGGCGTGTCTTCCTCCTAAATACTGTGTTAGTAATCTCTGATCTGCTCTCCTTTACAGAAATACTTCATCTCCACTTCCACCACTCTCTCTTGAACCCACACAGTCAGAACTTTGTTGCCACACTGCTGAACCTGCTCAAGATCATCAGTAGCCTCCACATTCTCTAATGTGATTTTATTTCTCAGGCTTCACCTCGCTTCGCCTGTCAGCAGCATGTAACACAGCTGATGGCTTTCTTCCTGAAGCTCCTTTTCTTGCCTACTAGGATTCCATTCTCTCTCTTGCTTTTCTTCCTTCCTGTTTTCTTTAGTCTTCTTGCTGATTCCTCCTCGTTTTCCAGCCTCTAAATGCTAGAGCACCCCAAGATTCAAATCATGCAATTTGCACTGCTACTGTTTGCTCGCTCGCTCGCCCGCTCTGTCTCTCCTGGCAATCTCATTCAGATCTTGGCTGGATGAAGCCCACATTTGAATCTCTAGCCCATACCTTTCCCCTAAACACTAGACTCACACTTAATTGCCTACTGTAAGTACTGCCTGTATCTGAAACTAACTTCTTTTTTCCTTTTTTTTTTTTGAGACGAGCTTACTCTGTCACCCAGGCTGGAGGGCAGTGGTGTGATCATAGCTCACTGCAGCCTCCAACTCCTGGGCTCAAGTGATCCTCCTGCCTCAGCCTTCTGAGTAGCTGGAACTATAGGCACATGCCACCACACCTGGCTAATGTTTTTTTCTGTAGAGATAGAGCCTCACTGTGTTGCACAGACTGGTCTCAAACTCCTGGCTTCAAGAGATCCTCCCACCTCAGCCTCCCAAAGTACTGGGATTACAGGCATGAGCCACCATGCCTGACCTGAAACAAAACACTTACCCTTTTTCCCCAAAACAAGTCCTGCCAAGGTCTTCTCAATCTAATGAAATGACAACTCCATTATTCTGGTAGAGGTTAAAAACTTTGGAGTCATCTTTGAGTCTTTCACACCTCACATGGACTCCATCAGCAAATCTGCCAGCATTACTTTCAAAATATATTGAGAATTTGATCTGTTCCCTGACTCTGTCACATTCACATGGTGGTGGTCCAAGCCACCATCATCTTACACCAGGACCATGGCAAAGGCCTTCTAACTGATCTTCCACTTTTACCCCTGCTTCCACATTGCCTGCTCTCTCATATGGCAGTCAGAGTAATTCCTTTAAAAGGCATATAGTATCATTCCAATTTTAAAACTCACCAATGGCTTCCCATCTCACTCAGAATAAAAGCTAAAGTTCTAACTATGATCCACAAGGCCTTATGTAAACTGCCGCCATCCATGTTAGCTCTGACTTCTTATCCAGTGACTTTTTTACTTTTGTCTGTTTCTCCAGTATACCAAGCATGTCTCTGCCTCAGGACCTTCAACTACTGTCCCTGTACCTGGAATGCTCTTCCTCTTGGTACTTATTTGGCCCACACTATCACTTCTTCAGGATCTCTGCTTAAATCTCACCTTGTTAGATCTTTCCTGAGAACTATATAAATGGGACTCCACCACCATCTCTCTCCCTTTCCCTATTCTGTTTTTCTTAAACCATTTGCTATATATTTTGTTTGGTTGTCTCCCACTAGAATGAAAGCTTCATGTGACATATCGTAAATATTTATTGAATGAAAGGATATTTGCCTAGAAAAACATATACAAAGAAAATAGCGAAATGTTGAATTCTCAAGCAGAAAAGTCATGTGGTTCTATTTCTGCTTCTTTCTGAACAAGTGAAAGAATTATTAGGTCAGTGCTGCCCTCATAAATGAGATAGGAAGAAGATGTATTATTTCTAATGCAGGTAAAATACTGTAACCGATAACATTTGAAAACTTACATAAGTTTGCATATATAGCAAATCTTTGCTATATATGCAATTATATAGCAATTATTTGCATTACTATCTAATGAGAAGTGTGAAGTTTGCAAATGAGCAAAAGACCCATGTTTCAATTAATAGATATAACACTTATCAATCAACAGAGGAGAACTATCAGCTCATTGGCCGTAGATGACCAGATCTACAGTCTGTGATCTGTGATCTTTTTGGTGGAGGAAAAATCAAAAAGTGAAATCTTCAAGACTGCAGGTGTGAAAAAGACTTCAAAACTGGTGAAGCATTTACAGAAGATTCCTTGAGTGCCTAAAATGACTGCTTTCTGATTTGGGGTAAAACCTGGATCACAGTCACTGAGATAAGAAACCTGAAGAGCCTACCCATGGGGAGATGAGGGTGCCATATCTTATTTGTTCACCAATCACCAAAACTTTCAAAATAATAAAACCGAGTGTAGTATAGTACAATCAGTACCTGCTCTCCAAGAGCTATCATTTGAAGGAAAACCCACTATTCAAGGACTAGTTTATAAATAGTATCATCTCAGGCTGTTAACCACTATAGAAATTTATCCATGAACCCAAAAACCTTAAGAGTTTAAATAATTTTGCAACCAAAAAAGACTTCTAAACAACTAATATCAAACCATTTGCTCCTAATTATGATGAAAAATGTGGTTTATCTGCGTAAGTAGCACAAAGCTACAGCTATTATTCAACAGAGAACTATTTCCTCCCATCTAATACAACAATCAATTATCAATCCCAAATAATCTTCTGACCATTATTAATTTCCTCAACCCAGTATTATGTAGCGAGGTCAATGTTTCTCAATATTCAATCCCATTGAGTAAAGCTGATTTGCTATCCCAGGAGTCAAAAAAAAAAAAACAAAGAACAGATTAAGAAGATGTAGGATATTTGTTAAAAGTAAGCAAAAGTATTGAGGAGGTAGTTGCCAATGGGGCAAAAAAATTCTATAAGTACTCTTGAGTTTCCTTGGAAGCTTACACTGAATATTGTGTATTTATCTCAAATGTTATTCTACTTAAACAATATAAGCTCTTACAATAGGAAAAAATATAGATGTTTTAATTACCTCATTGAAATTGCTTTGTTCCTTAATGCATGCTTTAGTCAAGAAATCTGTTATTGTGCTAAACTTGGGGGAAAATTAAGTCTATTGACAGTTACTGGAGTTGGTTTTTTTACTTATTCTCACCCTCCTAGTACAGAAGCTTGAGGGCAAGGAACGAGTGGGAGGATGTCAGCACAGTGCAAAAAAAAAACAAGGCTAACTTTTAAAAAGTTGAATATGGCAATGAACAAGGTATAGAAGTTACATTAGTAAGACTCAGGAAAATAGGAAAATAAAAATTTAAATGTTTACAACAAAAACCAAAAATCAACTTTCTAAATCACAAATGGCTTTTTAAATTTGGGACCATCTTGAAAATTCTACTACTAAATTAAATTCATAATTTATCATATTAATTAGGAAACAGATTTGAACTCCTTAAAAATAAAATTAAAGCAGCAACAAAGATCTCAAAACAAACCAAATAACCGAGAGCTTTGACTTGAAAAGGTTAAAATTCCTTTCTTAGAAAAATGTCTTGCATTTCTCCCATCATTAATAAAGTATTTGGTAGACTGTATTCATAAATGTATTCCTTAATATCAGACACTGAAGTCCACTTTTTTAATGTTCAAGTAAGCATCTTATTTTTGGTACTTGCTTATGAATCAAAAAATTGAGAGAAACAAAATACTTTGATGACATAACCACATAGTAACACTCTCAAGCTGGAAATATTACTGCCTATTGTTTAACATAGAGCTATTGTTAAATATAAATGAAATTTCAACAAGAAAGCTACTTACCACCATCCCTCTCTCTAACTCTGTGAGTATGCACATTTTTGGCCTTACTGTGACCTGTGCTGTCACTGTATTTGTTTTCAGGACTATCAGATCTCCGCAACATTTTATTGGTGGTGAAGGATCTGCTGCGTCTCGCATCTTTTCATGTCTGTGATCACCACTACTGGGGGTGACTCTTCGATGAATACTTAAGTGCCTGTAAAACATCACCCCCAAAAAAAGAGAAAAAGATTAAAATTTTAAACTGAACTCCCTCAACTAATTCAAGCATAAATTTTGGTGTATTTACTTAAGTTTTATGAACTTATATTAATAAAATTTCCATTTTGAATTCTGCCCTGAAATTATTCAGACAAGACCTACACTTAAGAGTTACCACACCTGTTGTACAAACCTTAACATCAATTTAAAAAAAGAAAAAAATCCACTCCATTTTCTTGTAAATACAAATCAAACCATAGTGGCATATTGATTCTGCATAAAATTTTTCTGGGAATATATGAAATCCTTTTTGAAAGTTTAGTCAAGAGACAGCCATGGTGGCTCACGCATGTAACCTAGCATTCTTCGAGGCTAAGCAGGCAGATCACTCAAGGTCAGGAGTTCAAGACCAGCCAGAGCAAGAGTGAGACCCTGTCTCTCCTAAAAACAGAAAGAAATTAGATGTACAACTAAAAATATACAGAAGAAAATTAGCTGGGCATGGTGGTGCATGCATGAGTCCCAGCTACTCGGGAGGCTGAGGCAGAAGGATTGCTTGAGCCCAGGAGTTTGAGGTTGCTATGAGCTAGGCTGACCCACAGCAGTCTAGCCCAGGCGGAACAGAGACTGTCTCAAAAGAAAAAAAGTTTAGTCAAGAAGAAAACTAGATACTTCAGTACTACTGTATCAATTTCTGCTCTACAACTGAGATGTACAGGCACACGTCTAAATAAGCACATTATGTTTCTACAAAGCTACAAAAAAGACATCAGTTCCCCAATTATCTGAGTCAAATTAAAGCATTTCAGACCTAACTTAACAACTCTTGCAGGTGGTAGGAACAAATAAGCATAAAATTAAGCATAATGGAACACCCTCAAATTAACGGTTTAGTTTTATTCTAACACATATCTTAAGAAAAATCATGATATACCAGTCTTTAAAAATATATAATCATGTTTTGGGGAGCAGATTCAATAGGTTTAATCTTTGACATACCCAAATGCAGCAGATGATGTTTTACACATCAGGGACCTAGAGTTTTCAACTCCAACTTAAACAAAACTATTAGGTTAGAAACCTGATCTCTTATCCTTTAAGTGATGAAATGTAGAAAATATTTACTTCCATAGTCACGTGGTAAGTTACCAACCATTTATGAAATTTCCCTCCTGAAAACTGGGGCCATTTAATTTTGAAAAACTTTACATGCAACAACTGCTGTAACAAAAAGGAACCTGCCTACCGAGAACCACTGCATTAGAATGAATTACCCAAGTACCCAATGATCTCAATTCTTACAGAAACAAAAGCACCATCTTTTATTCATATGGCAATTATTTGCACCAAAAACAAAATAAGAAGGGACAGTAGTTTACAACCCACTTAAGAGCTGTAAATCACTCAGCTATTTCTCCCAGACGCTCCACCTAATTTTAATACCTTTACATTAACTTCCATTCCAATACACTAAATAAATATGCCTCCGAAGTCACCCAACCACCTCATCCCGTCGATTCCTTCCCACTCAAATAATTGAGTTAGGTCTTCCCGGCTGCAAATGATTTTTTTTTTCTTTTTTAACTGAACTTCCTCCACTCAACTATCAAAATAAACACTAACCTTGATCGGAGAGCGCTGACGGAACCAAACACAAATTTTTGAGGGGACCACGGTGCTAGTTTCGGATTTGTTGCACCGAAGGGCCTGCAGCGACTTGTGAAGCCTGCGCTCGAGTAGCAGTCCCTCCCTTCCCCCTCCGGCCCCTTCCAATCCCTCCACCCGGCTTCGGCTGGTACCTGGTAAGGCTGCGCGTCCCCCCTCCGGTCGTGACAGCTGAAAAACAGGAAGAGACACGGCGACATGAGACACTGCGGGGGTGGGGCTGAAAACCGGCCCCCTGCCGCCCCTCCCGCCGAGACCTCCCGAGCGTACCGGCGCCAGCCCGCAAGCCCGGCGCGCCCCCGAGCTCCCGGAGGGCGAGGGCCGGCGGCCCGCGGCGCGCCCGACCCCGCTCCGCCCGCTCGCACCCTCCCGCC